AGGAATGCGAAGAAGAAAGCGACTGCTGGGCATTTTCCTCAAGGATGGGGCTGTGTCTGGGACTCACGAACATGTATAAAGAGACCAGACCCATCGGAAACGCAATTCTTATCTAACAAGACATCTGAGCAACCCAGGAGCAACAGGCTTGTGCAACCAGGTTCTTACCTTTCCTGTCCTCCTCAAGGTTGGCTTCTTGATGGCAGGAACTCTGGGTGCGGGCCGACGGGGCAGGAGTGGGGCCACCCCCGCTGTGGGCTCTGGTTTGGAAGATCCCTGGTCCGTCAAGGCTGTGGCATTTAGGGCTTCTCCTGGGGCGCCTGAAACATACAATTGCACGGCTAAAGTGTAAAGGACAAGGCATCGAATTATCCTCATTCTAAGGATAATTTACTAATGCAATGTATTTCTTTGCTATCTAAAAATAAATCTTTCAAGGTTGTCAGGACCAACCAGCTAGGTTTGGCCCCCAGCTTCTCATTCCCACCTTCTCAACAGGGATGGTGATGTAGGGTCTGTGGAGGGGAGGAGCAGTGATGCCCTGACATCACGTGCAAAGTTTAACGTGTCCCTGTGTTTCTCAGGGTAGATGATGCAAAACTCAAAATCTCAGCAGGGCCCATGACCAAGAAAATGTTAAGTTGGGACCCTGGGTAGATTTCAAACCTCAAACCTCTGCATCTATAGACTTTAAAAAAAACCCAACAAAACCTTTACTGCAATATAATTCACATACCGTAAAATCTACGCTTTTTAAGGATATAATTTGGTGGTTATTAGTGTAGTCACAAAGTTGTACGACTATCACCACTATCTAATCACCGGAATATCTTCCATCACCCCAAAAAGAAACCCCACACATTCCCATAGCAGTCACTCCCCACACCCTCCTCTCTCCAGCCTCTGGAAACCACTCTAACTTTCTCTCTGTATAGATTTGACTACTCTGGACACTGCACATAAATGGAATCACACAATACGTGTGGCCTTTTGTGTTTGGTTCCTTTCCCTTAGTGCACACTATTTTCATGATTCACCCATGATACAGCATGTGTTAGGACTTCATTCTTTTTATGGCTGAATAATATTCCATGGTATGGATATACCCCATTTTATCCATTCACCAGTTGATGGACACTTGGGTTGTCACATCCATACAATTTGAGTTATTTTTTTTAATAAGAAAGAAACCACAGTGTTATCCTACAACAGTGTTTCTCAATCTCTTAATCCATGCCCTCCTTAAATGTTGTTTGGGAATTCCAAATAAACTAAATACCTGCACTATAAGCAAATCAGGCAACTGTAACTGCACCTGGCTTTTCAGAGGGCATAATTTTCCCTCTGCAAAAGAGATTCTAGTATAAAATCGCAACAAAAAAACCAAAAAATGTTAATAACCAGTGATTTTGAGGGCACAGAGGAGATTCCAAGTTAAAACATGGTTAACATGGGTTAGGTGAAGTGACAGCAACAAAAAATTAACAGGCAGTACGGCAGAGAAGAGGTCCCTGCCTGACAGTGTCCCTGCCTGAAAGAATCTGCAATTGCTGGCAATTTAAAAAAACAGATGTTTTGCCCTGAAAGAGGACTCCTACCTACCTATCTCTGCAGAATGAGTTAGTGCCTGGAGCACCAACCTCTTCTAAAACTCGTTTTTGTTTATTTCAGTCTCTCCTTGTTTATTTCAGTCTCTCCCTTAAGTGCTGCCTAATAATCTTGGGATTATTTTTACGTACTTAGTGAATTTTAAATATATAGTTTTAAATGGACAATAAGTCTTAGTAGCTGAATTTTATAAAATGTTGCAAAAGGGTACTTTCATTGAATACTGCCTCCAGAAAAAAGAGTGTTTTTCTCTTCGAGGCCCCTTTTAGTAGGAAGACGCAAAGAAAAGCAGAATTGGCAGGAGAGCCCCAGGGGAACACCCACCTCCTCTGGCTTCCAGGAGACATCGGATTGCTGCTTCCGCCTCCTGAGCGTTGGTAGTTTTGATCTGCTTGACGTTATAAGGCTTACTTATCCCAGTCCTAGCTTTGGGCTTGAGGACAAAATCAGGAAAACAAGCATATTAGCACAGGTAGGAAACAGCGTCACCTGGTGAGTTCTCTGCCTACCGATCTGTACGGGAGCGCGAAGCTGACAGAGCTCCTCCAGACGGTGATTAAAACACTTCAATCCAAACGGCGTCCCTCAAGCCTCTTCCCCCGGCCCAGCGCTCATATATCAAGCGTGGGGGGAACACAATAAAGTGTGGACAACCCTCGTCTCCTAAACTGGATGATTCCAGGATTTTGCAACGTGAACAAACCATCCTCTATCTTTATTTCAAAAACCAGGTAAAAGCCAGAAAACACAGTCAGAAGCTACTCCTTCCACGGTCCAGCGGAGTCATTAAAACACTTTTCCAGCTGTTTTCTCAAAAGTGCTCTACCCCTTCGCTTTTCTGCCTCCTAACTGAGACCTCTGGGTCGCCTTTGAGAACCTGCTTTCATTACTACAAACCACTGAGGTCGAGTCAACCCGTGGCCATCGGCTGGCCCAGCTCCACACACTCTCCTGGGACACATTAGCTTCCACCCAGCCCCCTGCTGCACCTCCCCCCTCCCTCACCTCTAGTCCACTGACCTTCACCTACTGTCTTCTTTAGGGCTCAAAGCCATCCTCCAGAACTCCCCGCCTCCAAAACTCTACACGACTGTTATGATTACTAATGTCCCTACTGCGTTATTTAGGCCCCATTAGATCTCTTTTTAGCCTCTTCTCTCAAGACAACTGATCTGAACTTCTCTTATTTCCCCTTCTGTCAGCCCCTGCTCTATACACCAAGGTCAAAGGCAAGCATCAGAGGGGAGAGAAGCAGGTGGGTCTGGAAACCAACAGTCCCTCCCTGAAGGGGCACTTGGGGGTTTTCATCAAACGTGATTTTCTCTCTCATGCTCTGTACGACCGTTTAAAAACCCTATAAAGGGCCTGGTACTAAGTTACGGGGTTTGGGGACGAATGGTGGACAGGCAGAGGGTTAAAGAGACAGACATATATACATTCACTGAAAAGAGGTGATCCTGCATAATGTTAGGGGCTGAGGGCCCTAACAAATCTCTTGGGTTTGAAATGCTGACCCATTTCGCTATGATCTGAATACAGGAGAACTCACTGCTTGCTGAGGTGCTCCTGGCAGAAGTTTTGCTGTCTGCAAAATCGAATACTGCCCGTGGGTGCCAGAGGAGATGGACACATCCGAGGCTGACTTTTTCACCATTAGACCAGCTGTAAAGACCAAGGAGAGCAGAGTCTCAATCTCAGTGAAGTCGCAGCTGCTTCTATGCAAATTCCCAGCCAACTGAGAGCAAGGTCACAGTTAGGGTCTGAGTACATCCATGGCCTTTGGGGATTCAGAGGCGCTACTGAGTTTCTCTTGTGATTCTCTAATAACTTGGGCTTATTAATGTAGATTCTCTGGAGGAGCACTGTTTGAATGAAAATTTTAATCTAACTTCCTGGGGGAGTTAAATCTGATATAAACTCTGATCAATCATTTTTAAGTGGTTTAAAATACACTACTATTATTAGGACCAAATTTTTAAACTACTTTGTGGGCAAAATCTAACAAAAAAAATCCCAAAGCAGGGGAATAAGCTAGATTAAATAATACCTGCAGCCATTAACACGTCATGTTTTAGAACAACAGTTAATACAGAGACATTAGATGAAACACAAATGACCAAACAAAACGTACACTAATTCTGTTAAAAAAAAAAAAAAAAAAAGAAAAAGAAAAATTGTGTATAGAGGACTTCCCTGGTGGTGCAGTGGTTGACAGTCTGCCTGCCAATGCAGGGGACACGGGTTCGAGCCCTGCTCCGGAAGATCCCACATGCCGCAGAGCAACGAAGCCCATGCGCCACAACTACTGAGCCTGCGCTCTAGAGCCTGCGAGCCACAACTACTGAGCCCGCGCGTCTAGAGCCTGTGCTCCGCAACAAGAGAAGCCACCGCAATGAGAAGCCCGTGCACCGCAACAAAGAGTAGCCCCCGCTCGCCGCAACTAGAGAAAGCCCACGCGCAGCAACAAAGAGCCAATGCAGCCAGAAATTAATTAATTAATTTTTAAAAATTGTGTGTATAGATATATCTAATTGGAAAAAGGATGGAAATCTTTTGGTTAACAACTATTATCTCTAGGTAGGTAAAATTAAAACTTTTATTGTTTAGATTTATCTCTTTGTAAATCTCTACAATAATATAGGACATAAATTTGTTTTTTATTTATTTAATGTTTTCTGAGTATCAACTCAGAAAAGTAAAAAAATACACTTAACGAGTCATAGTGTTTCTGGCTTGCCATTGATTACTATAGTGATGTAAGCCAAGATGAACCCAATTCTGAAAGTACAGTCTTAGAAAAATGTTTACCATCACACTGGGGGGGTGGGGGAGGGGGAGAAGTGAACAGTGGAGGTAAACAGAAACTGATCAAAAGCATGGCATGACTTTATTTCAGATTGCCAAGGAATGTCTCAGGGACAAAGCACTGCTTTTTTTGAGGAGCCAGGAAGAAAAGTGCTATCCTGAGACCCGGGCTAGGAAGTGCTGTTCTAAGCAGGCTCGGGCTCACAGACAGGACGGCTCCTGCTTAGAGGTGGGCGTGCGGTCACCTTATGGGTCAGAGCACCTGGGCTTACTCGAGTCCTCATATGCAGAGAGAGGGTGGGCAGCAGTCCAGGAGAGAAGACGTGGAAAGAAGCCATGGCGGGTGGCGGAGGAAGGAGCTCAAAATGTCCCTAGCTTGTCTGTGGCCCCAATTTTTCCATCCCATAAGGTTTCAAACTGAAAGCAGCTTAAAGCAAAAGCACAGCTACGGGAGGGTGAAGAACAGCTTTATAAAGGACTCATGTGATTTGCCGCGAGAAACATAGCTATCTCTAATATCAAACTTGCCATGGATTTAAGACACAAAGGAGCCCGAGGAGGGGAAAAAAGCACTGTGGAAACTCAAAGGCTAGATTTAGAGCCGTTTGTGCAATAGCAGGAAGTACGCAATTATTCCCAGCAGGCATCGTGGTGAGCGGAAAGCAAGCGAAGTCTTACTTGGAGGGGGGGGTCTCTGCGGTGGGTGAGGTGCCCGAGGCCTATTGGGAACCGACAGAGACCGACTTGGAGAGCGGTGGCGGAAGTCCCCAACTGCTTCCAGCTCCTGCTTTACCACCACCAGGTCAGCATCATCTGGAGGACATGGCAGGGCGTGAGTCAGATGAGTCAGACTCAGGTCTGCAGGGACCCGGCAGTGGCAGGAACTCCTCCCACAGGACAGCTTTCAGGGTCCCTCTCTGCTGTCATGGGGGACGGGGGGAGGGTACCCAATGCCTGCTTGGAACATTCAGTGAACCGTGGACAAGGTGTGCTGTCCAGACACGAGAGACACTGAAATATTTTAAAGTGTAGGTGTGCTTCCTTCTGAAATAATCCACAAGACTTCCACACACAGTAGACAGTTGAAAACCAGAGCCCCTCATTCTTAATACCTCATTCTGAAACAGGACAACAGTTCTGGACTTGAGAATATTTTCACTTCTCTGCCAGCAGGGCAGCCTGCCAATCCCTTGCCAAGGTCCAGCACGGAGCGTCCCTGCTCATTCAAGCCCCAAATCCTACAGCCCATGCCAGCTACTGCCCAAGCATTCGCCATCCTGACTCACCCTGCAAAATCCTTCTAAGCCTAAGAGGCGTGTGGGGAGGTGACGGCTTCTGTTTTATTACATGTACATTTGTCACATTTAAATTCAGGACGATTGTAGGTCTTCTCTCCCACACTACAACACACTCTGATTCATTTTATTTTGGCTTATACACCCCATCCCTCAAATCCAATAACTCAACCTCATGTGTCTCTGGCGTTCTGTTGGGGACAGGCAGGATTTCTCCTTCTGAAGTGAGTGCCTGAACGCCCTATAGCACTGAGGAGATGGTTCCCTTGACGTCCACCAGGGGGCAAGGCCGCTCACATGTGAGAGCCCCATGCTGGGTACATCTGCCCAGCCCTTGAGAAGATGCCTGAATGATGGCCACCCTGGAGAAGAGGACTGCTTCTTGTCTCAAGAGCACATCCCTCCGGCCACTTTCACGCCAAGGCAGGAGCCCTCTGGACGTGCAATGTGCAGAACCCCCTGGATTTGTTGATGAATCCAGTCCCCAAACCTGGATATGCGTTCCCAATCACCTGCGGAGCTTCATGAGTTGCCAGATTTCCAGGGTCCCAGCCCACACCTGCCAAACCCACATCTCTATGACGGGGCTCAGCAACTTGTAAGTTTAAAAGCCCCCTCTGGTTCAATGCAGCCAGGCTACTGACTGGGTTTGGGACCAAATACAGTCAAAAAGGCTTGGGGGTTCTTTGTACCTGTCCCAGTGAACTACCTTTTCTGGGAAGCATCTTAGTGTCAACTCTGTTCTCTGTTCTCAGCCGCAGCTCAAAGGGTCCTGACACGTGGCTGAGCCCCTGCACCTGCTCTCTCCAAGGGGGAGACACAATGCCCAGCAGCTGGAAGGCGCTCATGGCTATGGCTGAAACCGAGCTGAAGAGTCTGATGCGGAATATGAACTACTCTACTCTAATTATCTAGGGACCTGGAGTTCAATCCCAATGACTTTCAGTCCCTCTTAAGTCTAAAATGACATAATGATGCTAAGGTGTACTATTGCTGTATAATAATATAAAGTTATATGAATATAACCAGACACCAGCAACTCAGGACATAGATATTGAATATGCCTCTTATGGGACTGAATCAGAAAAATTTTGGAGAGGGAAAAAAAAATCACAAATGTAAAACCAGTTCAGAGCTATGACAATTTAAATTGCACAGAGGAAACTAATGATCATGAATCCGGTATGTTATAGGGGTACCAGTTGTTGCAAAAAATTTAAATCACTAGAGGAAATCAGTGTGGCGGCAGCTGGATTCCTTCTCAGAGCCCAGTGTTCACCCCTTGCCGTGACCTCTTTTACCCCTTTGTTCATGGGCCATGCATACTTGACGGCGGCATTACGTGATGCCCGGCTGCTGAGAGAGTGATCGCTACACCAGAGGTGATTTAGAAAAGGAAGGTCCAAGCTACCTCTGTAGGTTGGATGCTGCTTCTTTTTGGTGAGTGCCGGTGACCGGCTGGGAGGCGCCACCGCCATGGAGCTGGGGGCATCGGCGGGCTCGTCTCCGCCCGCTTCACTATCTGAGATCACGGGCTGACTCAGCTCATCCACCAAATAGTCCTCGTCGTCTTCAAGAATATCCCCTTGGAGAAGGAAATGTCACAGCAAACAATTAGGGGGAAAGGGCCTAGTCTTTTTATCTGTGGGTCTGTTTCAACACCGAGGCCTATGGCTTGTGTCAGGACACCTGAGGCATAGCCACCAGCAGCCCAGGGCACCCACGTGGCAGCAGGGCTGGGACCCCAATTCCACGGATGCCTGAGACACAGGACAAGCCCACAGCCCTGACATCTCCAAACTGTCTTCAGTGTAATTTTAGACGCCTCCCATCTTACTTGTCATTGTGTGCACCACTCCTACATGTGAATACCACCCAACTCTGGCATGGAGAGTCAGCCTGAACTTAAGCATCCTCTCTGACCTTCCCGAGGGTGGGTCTTAGAATGGATCCTGGGGCTCTCGTGTTGGCTGCTGGGAGAACGTCTCGCCTGCCCGCCTCACCCCACGCACCGGGAGCAGGATGACTCACCTTCTGACTCATAGTCCAGACTCGTGAAGTCGAAGTTTTCCTCCAGCAGACAGGAGTTGGCGGTGGGGGACGCGGAGGCCACGCTGTCCCGCTTTCCAATGATCTCCTCTTGCAAACCTTGCAGCCAGTCCTTGGTCTTTGGTCGAATCTTCACAGCTCTGCCTTTCACCTGTGAGGACAGAGAGGCCGCCTGTGAATGAGCGCAGACGTCAGACCCTCTGACCCCAAAGTGCTTCTCGCTCCAACGCATGCATCGGGAGCCTGGCCCACCTTCACTTTTGCCAAGAAAGGCCGAGGGTCTAGACCTCAGGCAGGCCCAGCACAGCTCACGTTTGGCCCGAAGAAAAGTTGAACTGTCACTTTTCATTCCACGTGAACTTAAAACCAGGATATTATCAAAACGGAAACTACCTATGAGCTGCATGTCCCAAACCATGTGCTCTGAAGAGAAGGCTCACAACACTCCCATGGGAGGGTGTGAGCGCACACAGACCCAGTAACACGGTGGGGCTGTGCTCCCAAACCTGCTCTTTCTCCCCAGGTCTGCGAGGAGCCAGTGCTGGAGAGTAGACACCTCGACGAAGCTACCAGAATCAGATGCCGGAATGAAGAGGCCCAGCTCCCGCCCTCCTGTGGCATCTACACCCGCAGACCCGGCCACGTGAAAGCACAAGAAGCCCACGGGGACAGGCAGCCCCGCTCCCCAGGTGACCAAGCACAACTCACCTTCATTCCGTCCACATCCAGGACGCTGAGCGCCGAGTGACTGTCTGCAAAAGTCACCAGCATCTGCCCTTGGTTGATCCTGGGAGAAATGAGATTTGCCAGGTCAGCCCCGGGAGCGCGCCCTCCAGCAAGGCACGCACCAGGCCCGCCATGCGCGCGTCCCTACCTGACAAGCAGGATCGTCCCGTAACTGCCCAAGGTCTGCATGAGCTCCGTGCGCACGTCCTCGGGAAATTCGTTTTTCTCTTCGGAGGTTGGCGACTGAAGGTTGACGACGACGGTGGCGTCCCTGGGGCCCTGGAAAGAGGACACTTCCTGGAACACCCTGTCCCGAGCACCCACATCGACTTCTTGCACTTCCACCTCCACGATGGCCAGCACGGGTCTGCGTCAGACACGGAGGGAAGACGGGGCACCGTTAACTCGGGACAAGACAGCCCCCAGCCCTGGCTCCGTCCCGACGCCACTGTCAACAGTAAACCTACACCATGACACAGCCTGTGTATGTGGCCCCCTCCCCATGCCACGGTCCCCAGAACTAAGCTCTCCGGTCCCGGGGTTTCAGTCTGTCTTTTCCCAACCTTATTCTCTTGGCATTTCTATCTAAGGATGATGTGAGAGAAAACCACACCAGCCATGAGCAAAGCTTCTTTACGTGCAACCCCAGGACTGCCGAGGATGCAGAGAAGAGGGGATTCTCCCTGGGCTAGGGGTTCAAGCTTTTTGGGGGGCTGTTTGGCAACTTGTGTTAGGAAACTCAAAAATGTTCATCTTTCGACCAATGACTCTCAATTCTAGAACTTTGTTCTAAGGAAATGACCAGACGGTCAGACAAAGATTTATACACGAGGTTGATCATTACAGCACTGCCGATGGAAGGGACAAAGGGGAAACAACCTAACTGTCCCAGGATAGGGAAAGCGTTTGGTTGCGATGCAAGCCACACGACCACATGCCATGCACTCATTGTGAATAATGTTGTAGAAATCTATCTGACATACACAGAA